AGCTCAAAGGACCCTGAGGACTTCATTTACCCCAAGAAGTGGTAGCTTCTGCTCCATGACAGACACCAGTTTAGAAAAATTCCACCTTGTAAATTTTGTTTGGAAATGAGAAGGTCCCAAAAGTTAGGTTGTATGTTTACTTTGTTTGCTTATTTTTTTTTAAAAGTGGTTAGAGTTTGTCAAATGTGAATATCAATGATTCTTTCAGAATGTTAAATCTGAATATTATTCTTGGAGTTCAACTATGTTTCTCTTGTTGGCTGTTAAACAGTAACTTTATCTGTATTTGTACCTCAAGTCAAATGCAGTCTGTCACTAGAATGCTCGTTACCTGCCCAGACCACAAGAGGGCACCCTAGAACTCTGCGACACTGAATGCTCTCCTGCCTTGGATCATCCGGAAATGGAACCTAGAAGAGAGTAACTGCCCCTAGCACCCTCTTTAGTCATGTTAAAGCTCTTTACTGTGGGCTGTGAGGTTTCACAGTGCATTACCCACACAGTGTATTGGGAGCCAAAAGCATATTACAAAGATTTATAAGTATTAGTAAAATAAAACTCATTTGTAGGCATACAGTTCCAATGCTCAAAATAAATGGCTACAGTTTAAAATTTATAAATTATTAGATTTAGCCCTATTGAGCCTGATTTCAGAATCTGCTCTTACCTCATCCCCCCATAGCTTTAAGATCTTCCATATAAAGAGAATGAAGAATTATCTGAATATAGATTTGGGGTCATCTAATTTAAAAAATGCAAAAAAGTATGATTTGATACTACAAGGCATGGTATAACAGAAATATTCTATACACTTTCTTTTTTAATTTTTTTGAGAGAGGGCCTCACTGTGTAGTACAGGCTGGCTTTGAACTCACTATGTAGCCCAGGCTGACCTCACTCACACTCATAGGGATCTTCGTGCCTCAGCCTCCTGAGGGCTTGGATTATAGGCAGGCACCACTACACCTGGCCCTATGTATGTTTTTAAAAAGTTTTTGTCCTTTCCTCCTAGTTAAGGGAAGGTTGGACGTCTCGATTGTATTTTCCAGAACCTCATTCAACTATCCTCAGCATATGCTATTTTTTTTTGAGACTGTGAAATGGGCTGGTTCATCAGTGGCATGGGGCTGAGTGCCTCTCATAGGTCCTTGTACCCGGTAGTGGTTCTTCTGGGCTCCAGTTTCAGTTAGGAGTATGTTGAGGCTAGAACAAGAATAGGGGAAGATTCTCTGTGTGTACTTAAGTCACAAACTCAGGTTGCACGGGTGTTTCACAGCTGACCTTGTAAATGCTTTGCAGAGTACACGACTCTCCGAAGTATGTGAGGTCATAGCACCCTCTTCCCCTGCACCCGTCTTCACAGGCACATGCTTAATATGGATCAAAAGAAGTCCTAGTGACCTCAGATTGATGTGTACTTTTCAAGTGAGATATTTGAAGATTTTACTAGGAGTGGTAATGATAACTACTTTTGGTTAAATTGCTTTTTGCATGTGTCACCTTATTTAATCTTCATAAGAACCCAAAGAGATGGTTACTATTATTTCTCCCATTTGTATATGAGGAAACTGGATTTAGAGGGGTTGGATAACTTGTCCAGCACCACGCAGCTCGTAGGTGGCACAGCAAAGGAGTGACTCCAGCAGCAACCCCAGTACTTGTTTTTAATTACTTGAAAAATACAGTGTGTTAATCTAAACGTAACTATAATCTTAACTTCCCATTCTCTTGGCAAAGCTGGAATTTGATTTCCCATTCAGTATATGGTGAAAGACACTGATTTAGTGTCAGTAGACATACTTTATAATTCTGAGTCTAACTCTAGCCAACTATTGAATCCTGAACAAGTCCTTTCAATTCTCCAGGCCTCAAGTTTCTCATCTGTCAAGAGCTGAACTTTAATTTGAAGAATTTCAAGGATTTGGTCATTCTCCTTTGTAGGTGAGGCACTCAGTCTATCAGTTTTCATTTTACTCTACTTCTTAGAAGGCAAATAGGCAAAGGATTCACACGCGAACCAACATCTTGGCACTCGGACCCTGGCACACTCAGCTGGATCAAGCTGCTCTAAACCATCAGCAGCGCATTGTGCGTGTCAGACATATGCAGACTCTGCAGTAATTCTGATTCTAATAATCTTCCAGGCTTAAGAGAAATAGCTTTAGATTCTTTGCTGGGGTGAGGAAGGACTAGAAATGCGGGAAACTACAGTGGAAATTAGCAACCAGAGATTTTGAGTTGAAGATAACTAGTTAATAGCTCCAACCTTAGTTTCTGTATCTAACACAGTTTCTGGAATAGATGTAAAATAGCCTCTCCACATGCACAGTATCAGAACTTATCTGCATGCGGGCAGCTTCACACACACACACACACACACACACACACACACATTTCAAACTTAAGTGTGTAAGCAGAGTGAAACGATGAATTTGAACCTTGCCTAGTTGATGAGTAACATGGGAATACACCACAAATCATGCTGACTACCACCATGTTTCTTCCTTAAATGTTGTAGTGTTTCCACATCAGAGTCCTCTATATAACAAAGGCAACAGCAGCCTGGTGGAGCTGGCCAGCCCCCGTTGGCCTGGGGGGCCCTGCACCCCTTTCCCTCCATCACTCATTTAGCATTGTGTGGGGTGCAGAAGCCAAGACTTCAGGTTACACCAGACAGAGCTGTCCCCTTGCTTCCTAGGAGAGTCGGGATTGACCCTGCACTTCCAATTTTTGATAAAATACCTTTGACCCAGCGCTTGATTTCCTTTAGGCCTGACCTGGTTTCTCTCCAGCTGAGGCTAATTTGCATGGCTGTAAACACGGACCTTACAAAGCTCACCAACTGTGATAAAAGCAAAGGAAACCTGAGATCACTAGAAACTCAAAAATCTGTCTTTGGTATCCAAGGAGGACTGAGTCAGCTCAGGCCCAGGAAGCTGCCAGCGTGCAGCAGCTAAAGAAATGTTATTCTGATTGATCTGATCAGGGTGGCAAGGTTAGCTATGGTCAATTTACAAAGACAGTATGAGAAGAAATCATGTGTGCAGCCATCGTATGGGTCAGTGAGGCCCCTGCCAGAAGTTATGAAAAGTCACTGCTCTGCCAGGGCCATTATCAAATCTCCTTTGGGGGATACAAATGGGGATTAGCGGGCTGGGGCCCCTCCAGTGGAACGAATGACAACAGGGGTTGGACTGTGAAGAGCTAGGGAGTCATTCTTGCTTTCAGCTGGATTCCTTAGCTGCCACAATCCCCTTCCGTGTGAATGGAGGAGCCCAGGTGTTCCTGGGTACCTTGTGAGGACGACTGCATTCAGCTCCTCAATGCAGTGGAAAGAAGGTGGAAGAGCTAATTTGACATGGACTGGAGGCTCTACTGTAACCCACAGAAGAAGCCAGATGGAACCTATTGGGCATTTTGAGCCCTTCCCTTGCTGCAAGTGTAGTTTAATTGGAATCTGGCTCCAGGCCCCGGTTACTAAATAACCTGAGTTCTAGTGTTTTCATTTTCATTAATTAACTTTTATGCTAGGTACCTTATTAGTCACATGGAGGCATTTTGCATGTACAAAGTATCCTAGGACAGTGATGGCGAACCTTGTAGTGCTTTCCATGATAACCAACATCTGGCTGCAACACTCATGCCATAGGTTAGCCACCACTGTCCTAGGGGGTGAGAAGGGGGTCTTTAAAAGTAGTAGAGAGCCGCAAGCACCAGGGGGTTAATTCATTACCTAATTATCACATCACTTTTTACTCTCCCATAGACTCTCCTGACCAACTTCCTTAGTTTAAGAGAAGCAAAAAAAAACCAAGCTTTAAAGTTTGTTTTCAAATGTTCCTTGCATCCATATTGATTCTGAAGATTTCTGAATCTCCCACCTTTGATGTGATTGTCTTCCTCCCTGTCTAAGAACATAAATGTTATTTCCAACACTGAGATAAGGCATATCAATGAACAAAGAAAGATTTATTTCAAATGCAGCCAGTGGAAAGCCACATTGCTAGAGCAGGGGCTCCTTATAAATAGATCACGCTGTACTATAATCATCTTACTAATGGAAAAAATGAGACATTGAGATGATTGCTTGGAAAAGAATGTGATTCCAAAGGTAGTGCTAAAACCCCTAAAGCATACTATATTTAGAATGCTTTAGTACAACGTAGAGAATCTGGGCCATGTGACATTAAAAAACTCGGCCCCATGGAGTCTGGTATTCATTTACCACCTCTGAGGCCAAAGCACACGGAGAAGGTGGTGCACTCACCACCTGACAGCTGAGATCTTGGTGTGGACCTCAGAGAAGGAAGCAAGTGACAAGGCTGTAGTAGAGGCCCGAACCAGAGATTCCCAGCCATCTGCCCCTCCAGCAATACCAGTACAGCTTGGGTCACAGCTAGGCAAAGTGTGGAGGATGTGAGTCTAAGTCGAGGAGGACAGCAGTGGGTTTCTGGAAGGGCCTAGCCTTTTCTGAGTCATCTTGTCAGCAGAGCCAAGTTCCTCCGTCTTCCTAAAGCCCCTTGCTACATATACTAGTGCCAACTTCAAAGTGTGCTTCAAAGTTGTGAGAATTGACATCACATATCCTACTTGCTTGGTCCTGTACTGTTTGCTGTCCACTATTGTCACCCTAGGTCATATCACTATTCGAAAGGGGGGTAAGAATGATAAACAAACAAACAAAAAGAATGATGAAACATTCTCCAGCGTCCCTCAAGGAGAGCAGAAGTTGGCTGATAATCAGAAGCTTCCTCTCTCATTTAGTGGCAGCTTCACCCCCTCCCCAGGCTCATTAACATCCATTTTGCCCTGTTGGTTTTTGTTGTGTATACCAGTGGGGCACAACTGTGCATTACAGTGAAGGAATTTTAGTCAGATGCTTGGAGATGAATGCTCCCATTATGTGCCAAAAGAAAACTATATTAAAGAACAAACAGATAATTAAATGCGCCTTCATTTTCTAGTACTATTTTTATTTCATTTTCATGGCAAGCTGTGTTCCTGGTGCAACTCTCAGGATGGTGTTGGCAGAGCTGTTGGCCTCCTTAAATCTTTGTAGAACATGGTAGACTGTAAATAAATATAAATGGCATAGATTTGATGACTTGGCGGTGGTCAGATTCTTTAAGTGATATTATCTCAGGTTGGTTTTGCTAATAACAGTTAAACAGAGTGAATTAAGTATCACTCTTTCTTAAATTTTATTGACAAAATATGAATGTAGCTTTAAAAGTCAAACAGTATTAAAAACCTTGAAATGTCCTGCAAATCTTAAGAAATATCCAAGAATTTTTTCATGCAGACCACATCCTATTATCAAAATGAAACTAAATTAGAAATCATGTTAATAATAAGACAACTTAAATGTGCCAGTACCAAAAACAGTGCTTTTTACTATTTAAAATTTATAATCACACCTGCAAAAAGTCATGGTTTAAGAAATTAATTATAATGGAATTCAGAACACTTATAATAAAAATACTACATGTGAAGACTCATATAAGATGAAGCTAAAATATATGTATCTAAATTAGAAAAGAAAAAGATAAATAAATTAAGCTTCTAAAATTAATACATAAAGTAAGAAATTAGAAAATTTTAGGTTGAATAAGAAAAGGCCTTTTGCAGGTTAATTATGGCTAAATATTTACAATTTCATATGGTTCAACTCAATACATTTAAAATGAGATGAGGCTGGAAGTTTTAAAAAATTGAAATGTAACACAGAAGACCAATACAGATAAGTTTCTTTGAGAACAACAATATTCAAAAACTTTTAGCAGGATTAGGCAAAACAAAAACAGGCAAAAATATCAGGAAGGTAAGAGTAAATACTGTAGAAATATATAAGATAATACCATGAACAAGCTTTTGCCACTGAATGAAAATAATATGAAATAACTTTCTAGAAAAATGTAAATTACCAAGAGTCAAGAAAAACTAGAACACCTGAATGGTTCTACAAATATAGAAATTAGATCAATACTGGTAGTATAAAATTGTCACTCTGTAGTTTAGGCTGGCCTTGAATTCACCATGTAGCCCAGGCTGGACTTGGGCTTCTGGCACTCTTCCTGCCTCAGCCTCCCATGTGCTGAGATTATACGCAAGTGCCACCTTGCCCAGCTGAGTATTAATACTCTTGTCCATGTGAGACATCCTCAGAGAATGTCTATTTTTGAGTCTATTTAGGATAGAGTAGGAGCTCCCTCTTCAGAGATGTGCACATATTTTGTTTCATTTTATTTTATTTTTTTGGTACAGGGGATCGAACTCGGGATCTTACTCTTGCGAAGCAGGCGCTGGAACCACTGAGCTAAATCTTGGGCCCCAGCACATATTTTGAATCTCTGTATTACTCTATTCCTATGGAGACTGAAGGAGAGTATAATACGTGTTTACAGCTGTGCTGTGAGAATAGGAAGGTGGTAAGAGTAATTGTAGGGCAGATGTGCTAGGATATGTACCACAAGTCCTACCAGAGTCTTGTAGCTATTCTAAAATATTTGTATGCTGTACTATTTCATCTTTCATCTCTCACTAACATTTCCTAGAATCTTTGTCTTATGAAAGGGGCTCCCTTATTAAACACAATGTGATTCTTACATTAGTAGTTGTTCCTCAAAAATTGAAAAGAGGAGAAATACTTGTGTGAGAAACAGTGTCCATTGCCACAACTGTGGCAAATTAAGACTATAGAGAGTCTGTAAGACTGCAAAAGAATAAAGTTACCTAGGTATCCTAGAGGAGGAAGTGTGCCTCTTGAATTCTGCCTCAGCTATTGCCATCTACTGGCTCCAGAGCCTGAAGCTGGAAGTGTTCTCTGTCACTGGTTGTTCAGGGTCTGAGCAGGAGTGGGAACGAACCACATAATTTGCATCATGCATGCAGTCTAGCTCAGAGGCCATCCATCATCTCTGATATCTTGAATGCAGTGATTACCATATCAAAGACACGTGATGACACTAAAGATAATAACTTTTCTGTGGCCCATTATCTCCAACCAGCTTGGAGTAATTATTGGCATGTGTTCTTTTCCAAAACCTAACACGCCAAATTTTGGAATTAAAAGCTCTGTTGGAGCCACCATGGGTATATAGAAGACTGGATTCAAGATATTATAGTTAGATAAACAGTTACATAGACAAGACAGGAAGTCCAAAGTTCATGCAAACTTTGTTCTTTAGAGGCTTTTAGGAGGGCAGTATGGCTGCTTGTGTGCTTGGAATTGACCTTGTAGAAAAATTACTTGTGATCCTCATTGACAAGTACATAGCCTTAGATGAAAATTCTATGGAGACTTATGAAAATGTATATTTCTAGCTAATTAGCCAGCAGGGGAAAAAAAAGCACTTTGGTGATCAGGAATTATATAAATATGTATCAAGCACTATGTTAAACACCAGTTGAAGGGAACAAGGTGATACATTCTTTTGAAGTCATCTTGATATTCAAAGTGTGGTCCCTTGGTCAGTAATATGTGTCACCTGGGAGCTTACTGGGACTATAAGAATATCAGGTCCTCTGTTTCTTAGGACTAAGTTAATGAACTATGACACTGGTGCCTTAAAACAACAAAAAGTTATTTTCTCCTGATTTTTGAGTCTAGAAATTCAAAACCAAGCTATCAGCAGTGCCATGCTTTGGTAGCGTCAGCCCTGTGTAAGGATAGGGCAGTGAATGCACTGATTTTTTTGGGGGGGTCGCTTTTTCTCCCAGGGTCATGATCAGTGGGAAAATACATATAATTTTGCTTAACACAAAATCTCCAAAACTGTCAGAAGTATCTCCTGCCCCACTCTTTTTTAGTATATGTGCTGCCAAAGCAAGCTCTCCGCCCCCACTCTTAGGGCACCTCCATGCCCAGCCACAGCCTTCACCTGCTGTGGCTTCTACATTTGCTTTCTGAATAGAATTCATCAGTCTGAAGAACCAGTAAAAGGTTTTTCTGTTTCATCAGTATGGGGATGGGATGCCAACTATGTTCTCAGACTCAGGACAGAATGACAATTTGCCTTTTCACATTTCTTGGGAAGGGCCGAAATCCTTAAGTAAACTTCATCAGAGCAATTTTATGTGTCCCCAGAAATAAGACCATGGAAGAGATTCAGACTTAACAGTTTGACAGAACAGTGAGGCTTAGTTTCTCTAGAAACATTTTATGGGACAGATTAGCAGGCTGTATGTGGAGAGCTTATTTTAATGGCATTATTAGGTCAGTTGAGAGAGGCTTCTACCCAGAAGCATACCAGCCACGCTGGCCGTCAGTGGCTAGGGCTTGTTTGCACCAAGTCAGATGACATTTCATAACATGGCACCACGGAGCTAGCCAACCATCTCCTCTGGGTGCGGTGCCAAAGGTTGGCGGGGGCTGGAACATGGGAGAAGCAGAGGGGCAAGGAACCTGAGTCAGCATTTATTTTTCTGGGCACTTGCCAAGGAACAATTTTATATATTCATAGAAGCACTAATTCTCCCTGAGGAAAGAAAGCCAGATGGTTGCCAGCTCCAGTTCTGCTCTTCCCTCCAGCTGGCACGCACTTCTGCATTGGCTGGGAAGAACAGTAGCTTATCTGTCCCTTCTTTGGTCACGGCCTTAGTAGAGATGGCAGCGAGGGCACAAGAGTAGCTGCAGCTGTCTAGTGGATTGAGTGTCCCACCATGATGGTATGTGTCTGTGTGTGTGAGCAAGTGTGCAAGGCCTGCATCCATAGGCTACCGTGCCTCATTTTCTTGTGTGTTTTGTCACTTCCTGGAATTTCTTTCACTTGGAAATTCTTACTCTATTTTCCAAATTAGATTTTTATTGTGAAACAAGAGTTTTCAGTTTCATCCATTCACGTGAATGGATGCCATAAGAATAAAAATTTAAGTACTTGCTGATTTTCCATCTCTCCTCCCCAAAAGATGCTACTTTCTAATCCAGCCCCAGTAGATTCCATGCTATTTATATTTTTTATTTGAAGGAACTAGAATAAATCCTATCAGTCATCATTATCAACTCAGTCATCCAAGCTTGTTTCCCTGCACAGATTTCTACATCTCTAACATTGGATTCTACCTGTCTTCCTATCTAGTCATTAAGAATGTCTTAAAGATAAATGCAACATTCATTATGAAAGTACCTCAGTCCATTTGGGAGCCTATGATTTAGAAATGCAAAAGATTACGATTAATAAAGCAGGCTGGCTTGTCAGTATTATATATGCTTTATATCAGCTTCTTGATGCCTGTACTTTGGAAAAGTAGTGGGAACTGGAGTGTTGGTGTGAAGCACAAAAAACAAAAGATACCAGCAGTCTGAGAGATGAGAGTAGAAGTATTTTCTAGAATTTTACTTTGGGAGACTCAAATTGTCTACTTTCTGTGTAGTCTTTACCATGTCACTTAATCTTACTAGGAGAAGAAGCCACATACCTATTTGTTCTATACAGGTTAGAATGGACAGCGTGTGGATATTTGATATGTGTTATTGCTGTGAAAGTAAATGTCCGCCTACATATGTGGATACTTTATTTGTTTTTTTGTGGGTGAATGTGCGTGTGTTTGGAAACCCTGCGACCACAAGCTGCCACCCCTCAATCAATTTGAACACAGAATGTAGCAACTTACATATTTGCCTAAAGTGGATGACCAAAAGGTATTCATGTGTAGTAACGTGTGCGACTACATTTAGATAAACATGATGCCTATTCTCCAGGCTCTATGATAAAAGACATCACTGAAGATGAAAATCCTGTAACTGAAACTGAAAAAGTTCAAATGCAAGAACTAAGGTGAAGAACAAAGTATCATCTTAATCTGGTATAAGTTTGGTGTCCAGCAAAGGTGCAGTTGTGCCATTTAATCTTTTTAATTTCAGACAGATATAAAAATTAATCTTAACTTCAGAAAAAGTTGATCCATGTTGATCTTGTTTTGTAGCTGTGCCAAAGTTGCTCAGCTGAGCATGCTTCCCGTATTTACAGTCTCTTCAGAACCATTTATTTTTACTTTTGACCCTGTCTGCAAAGCTTGGGCAAAAACTTGAAGATATATACTCTGTACATGTAAAAATCACACTGGACATG